GAGCCTAGCTGACAACTTTGTCATCCAAAAGATAGAGGAAGGAACTAGAAGGTCAGCTATACCAGACTTCTTACTAATAAAGATGAAATGATAGAAGCGGTTGAAGTTGAAGGAACTGAGATCCATTGGAAATGATGCCGCCGGAATAATTAAAGATAGGCAAAGCCAAGAGGTCGCAACAGATGAGATCAATGAATTGTAGCTCACTATGCTGTCCTACTCACACACAAATGCACATAACTGTTATTTAGTGAGTTTAATAATAATCCCCAGCAATATCCTTCTCCAAAACTCAGAACTGTCCCAATTAAGTCCAGCCACAAGCAGGCCAAGATTAATGGCCCAATAGTCTGCAAAGCAATTGAAAGTTGCTCAAACAAAATAATTCCACTAAACAAACTTAAATCCACACACAAGAGAGTTCACGAGACAGAAAAAGTCCAGAGTCTCCAAGGCACGAATCAATTCCAAACATGGTGTCAATCCAGAGTGAAACAGGAAACAGGATGACCAAAAATACACAGCTAGTAAAAACACACATTCCCAGCAATGCCTCCATCTGTCTGCTGTGATAAATAGCCAGCTTTCTGGTACAGCTGGGCAGGGCTTTCTCCTTTCCATGGATACTGGCAGTTGAACCAACAAACCAGCTGAGGGGCATGCAGAGCATTGGCATTTTCCCACCACATGTCCTCAGGGCCATAGCTCTTCCAGTACACCACATAGTGCAGACATCCCCAGCGAACACAGGAATCTACAATATGTGCCATCTCATATTCCAGCTCCTCCTGTACTAATCCTGGCTCTGGCAGGGAACCTGACAGCTGGTGAGGGCTGGCTGGTGCAGCAGGCACAAGCAAAGACCAGTAGAATAACGGGTGGATGCACATTCGAGCAGGCAGGGTCAGATGATATGCCACCAGGTTGACGACCACTTCCACAGGGAATGGGCCTAGGAAGTGATGGTCAAGTTTGTGGGATGGTAGCATCATGAGGAGGTGCCAGGTGGAGAGCCAAATGTAGTCACTGACTGCCAAGGGAGGCACATCTCGACTGTGTTGATCTGCGAACTTTTTATAACTCTTCTTGGCCCGCTCCAATTGTTCTCGCAATACTTGATATGCAGTGGTGAATTTTTGTAGGAAATCCACAGCTGCAGGCAGTGGTGAATCCGCAGTGGTCAGAGGGAACTAACGTGGATGAAATCTGTATGTTGCCAAGAACAGAGATGTGCAAGCTGAAGCATGCTAGGCATTGTTATATGCGAACTCTGCCAGCGCCAGTAGATCCATCTGGTCGTTCTGCTGGAAATTCATGTAGCAACATAAAGACTGCTCCAGCATGGCATTCATTCATTCCTTGCCTCCATCTGATTTTGAATGATGTGAGGATGAAAGACATACCTGCACCTGTACAAGTTCCAAGAGTGCCCGCCAAACTCAGGCTGTGAAATTGGTACCTTGGTCTGACACAATACTCTCAGGGAGGTTGTGAAGCCGGATGATGTGACACACAGCCATGCCATCTCCCGTGCCATGGGCAACTCCATGCACGGCATGAAATGGGCCATATCATCCCAAGGCCTCTTGAGCATAGATAACATCTGCAATAGACTTGGTGGTGGTCCCTGTGCGTTCTTAGCTTGCCGGCACTCCAGGCATGATACCACGTAGGTCTCCATGTTATGGCGAATCTATGGCCACCAGAACACCTGCCCCACCAGGTGCAAAGTCTTGAGCAGGCCAAAATGCCCTGCTGCAGGGTTGTCATGACACTGGAGTAAGATCAGGCTGTGGGAGGGCCCCTCTGGCACATAAATCCTCCAAGAAGCTAAAGACCATGGGCCTGAGGGGCCTCTGATAGAGTTTAACTTCTCTGGCCTGGACAAATGAGTCTCGAAGGTGCACCAGCTTGATTTGCTCCTTCAGATCAACAAGCTCTTGGGTCACCACGAACCTTTCCACTGGAATCACTGACCAGAGTGGCATCTTATCCCCAGCCTGTGTGTACTCCGGTTTGCGTGACAAGGCATCGGCTTTCTGGTTCCAGCCTCCCAGATTATAGGTTATTCACAAATCGAAGCAGGTGAATAAAAGAGACCATCAGTTCTGCAGCTTGTTGAGATTCCTGGCCATTTTCAGGTGCTCCAGGTTCCAATGATCCGGCCATACTTTGATCTGGTGCCAAGCCCCTTCTAATTGGTGCACCAGACCTCAAAAGCCTTCTTGACCACCAGCAACTCCTTATCTCAGATCATGTAGTTCCACTCAGCAGAGTTGAGCTTACATGAGTAGCAGAGGTAGGATTCACATAATTTATCTACCAGTTCGCCCAGCACTGAAAATATGAGTGCGCATGTGCACATGCACCTGGTCTTCCATGCATGCACTTTGCTTGTGTGCATGCTGTCAGGGTAATGATGATTTAATAGCTGAGCAGCTGCTGTAAGGCTGTAAACCAAGATGATAACTGAGGATGAGTCAGCAGGGTTTCTGCCTTTAAGAAGCTGCCTATATAAGGGAGGCCATTAGATGGCGTCTCTCTCTCCTCATGTATCTCTCTGCTCATGTTCTACCTCTGTGTATTTTTTGCTCCGTGTATGCTTCATGTTATAATTGAAGATTGATTGATTGCCTGGCTTTGCTTAGCACGTGTACGTATATATGTTGTATTTTGCTCCTGGGTTGTCTCAAACTAGCAGTCACACTGTGCACACTCTGACACGCGTCTTCCTCACATGCGCCCAGCCTCAAAATCATGCCTAAACAGAACAGTATAGAGCCGGTGGGGGGGGGAGAGGCAGGCCCACCCGCGGTTTCTGCTACCGGTTTGCCTGAACTGGTCCGAACTGGCTGAATACCAGCTCTGGCAAGTAGTAAGAGCAAGGGAAGAGTTGCTTTGAGTTTAAGTGGGTTTGTAGCAACACCTCCTCCACCATGACATCAGATGCATCCATCTCCACCATGAACAGTTGCATCAGGTCGGGGTGGTGAAGAATGGGTTTCGTAGCAAAAGCTTTTTTCAAAACCTCGAAGTTGTGCCTCTTGACTGACCTCCACATGAGCCACACCTTTTTCTGCAGCAGCCGAGTTAAGGGAGCAGTCATTGCAGTGAACTGGGGAATAAACTGTGGTTTAGTGAATTTATTAATAATCCCCAGCATTTACCTTCACCAAAACTCAAAACTGTCCCAGTTAAGTCCAGCCACGAGCAGGCCAAAATTAGTTCACAGAGCATGGCCCAACAGTCCACAAAGTAATTGAAAGTTGCTCAAATAAAATAACTCCACCAAACAAACTTAACTCCAGACATAAGAGAGTTCACAAGCCATCAATCCTGACATGCCAGGAATTGGCTCATCCTCCCCTGAGCTGACATGTTGTTCAAGGGAGACATCGTACTCTAGCTATCTTCCTATTTTGTTCCAAAAAGACTGTAAAGCCATTGAAGTAAAATGTAATTCCATTATTTCTAACCTACAGAAAACTGTCTTATTAATAGTAATTTTGTAGCATTGGAGCCAACTTTATTTAAATATAGTAGTGGACAAATAAAATACTGATTTGAGGGAAATTGTATTAATAATTAAGAGCTTTTTCAGTAAACATTCAAAATGCCTATTTAAAAATGGTAATAGTCCTGGTTCATAATTATAATGTTTGTCCATGTCCTTTTATTTATGCACAGCAAAATTGAGATTGCTTTTATGTATTCATCTCTATAATCTCAAAGTGGTTGAGAAACCATCTAGAAACTGAATCCCTCTCAGGGAAACACTTAGGGGAAAGGGAACACCTGGTTACTTCACATCAGGAGTGAAATGCGCCCGATCCAGTAGCGATGGAGGCGAGTGGTTCAGAGAACCGGTAGCAAAAATCCCTGCCCCCCCCCATGCCCGGCTGAGCCGCGCAATCATCACAAGCTTTTTTTTTTTCTTTTAAATGGCTCTGACGACCCCAGCTGAGTTGCCTGATCGGTAGAGGGCTTTTCAAAAACCCTCTGACGATCAGGCAACTCAGCTGGGATCGTCAGAGCCTTTTGAAAGCATTTTTTAACAACCTCTTTGCCAAAGAGGTTGTAGAAAAAATGGTTTTAAAAGTAAAAAGAAAAAATTGGCCATGCCCACCCAGTCACATTACCCCCACCACCACCAAGCCACGCCCACAGAACCAGTAGTAACAAATTTTAGATTTCACCACTGCTTCACATATTTATGGGGTAGGCTTTTGCTTCCAGTTCTTCTGCTTAGAAATGTGTGTTTTTGCTTCCTTACTTATTATTTGTTATATGCAGCACAATTGTAGTAATAAATCCCTCCAAGCTCAAAGGAGCCACCTTGTGTGTTTAAGCTTTGTTATACTTCCTTTGAAGTAATTTTTTTATTTTACCAGATGTCCCCAATTCTAATCCAAGAGTTTATAAAAGGAAGTTTTAATTCAAAGTAATGCTTGCTGTCTGATAATACAGTCCTTAATTTAGATATTTTGCTCTTAAACCTCAGGTATAGTGAAGAAGTATGGCATTCCACATATAAAACTGACAAATTCTCAAATAAGTGAGAAATGGAGTCACTGAAGGCATTGTTGTCCCATTCCATTCAACTGATTCTGTCCTTAAGAATGTGGCTTTTCTTCCACATATACCACCAATTGTTCAATAAGTTAAATTATTGTCCAAAGTGTAGCTTTTTGTTTCATATCTTCTCAAGCTTTGATGCTTCCCCATAAGGACTCTAGCTTCATGTCTTGAAGGTGTATCTGGTCTTCTAGTAATTGTATAACAGAATTGTAAGGCTGTCCTAATTAGAATGCTGAAAAAAGAAGGAAAAAGCCATTGGAGTGGCTTAATTCTGTGAAGATGTGATTCCTTAGTCTAAAGTAATGCATACATTCTTAAGAACTTTCTGTGTTTTCTGTTGTTGTTTTACAAAATCATTTTATTTTTCTTTCACAGAAAGGCTTTAATATATGTTTTCCCCTCCCTATTTCTTTTTGATACAGAAATCTTAAATGGAGGAGTGTATGTTGGCCAGAACAGATTTCTTTGCTACGCAGATACCATTCAATGGGAAGATATTGTTCGCAACCCTATGGCTTCCAATTTCTCTGTGGTTCCAAAAAACAGTAGCACAGACTGTAAGTATAGGCTTTGTGATTTGTTATTTGATACAATGATGTAATTTTGTTAACAATAACTTTGGTTTATATTTGTAATTATTTTTTTCTTCTTCTAACAACTCTACTATGTTATTTTTATATGTTTCTATAGCATTTATGCATTAATTTTAACATGTAATATCTTTCACATCTAAGATAAAATATATTATACTATAACTAAATATATTATATATTATGTTATCTAAAAATCTAAATTATATTTAACATATATTGTTCTTTATATCTAGCAAAAAGATACTTTTCCATGGAAGATTTAAAGACCACTTCAAAGCTCCCACTCTTTCAAATCATAGTAGTAGTAACTGTAGTTAAAATGACTGTCCAATTGCTTAATGCTAGTCAAGAATGGAGAAGGAATGTACATCCCTGGACTATTGGTTAAAAAGATGGCATAAATTAAATAAAGGAAGAAAAACAATATCTTTTTGAAAGAGCAGTTTATGTATCATTAATATTTTTACTAATCTCTAAAAAAATGAACAATAGCCAAGATTAATTTTAGTATATTTCAGTTACAATGACATGATTTAAATAACAGAAGATGCAAAATAAAAAGGGAAAAAAGGATTCCTTGAAAATCCTCTTCATTGCTTCCTTGTATAAATTCCTTCCTTGTATAAATGAATATATTCAAACATTACAATGGGTTTTTTTTTAAGTTGTAGATTCACCTTTCCCTCTCTCCTAATTCTTTTTAACTATATCTCCATGTCGAAAGTATCTATAATTCTTGGTAAATTGATAAATTCCATTTAATGAGGATATAACTTTAATATGTAGAAAAACTAGACAGTAATATTGGGGAACTGCCTTAATATCACTTTCCCCTCCCCCCCCCAAAGAAACAGGCTTCATGAATTAACATTTCCTTTTGGAATTTTATATATATGTATTCATAAGGTCATTCTTTCCCGATTGTTTATGTTTGTGTGTGCATGAAATATTGTGGTTTTTTTAAAGCTGAGAACCACGTCAGAAAAATAGAACTATAACATCTAAATGATCATTTTATTATTATCTACAATAGTAACCAGATCAATTTATATAGAATGCTGAAATGAAGATCTCAGTTACCCAATGTCAGAATGTTAAAAATAATCGCAACAAATTTCATTGAGAATTTTCTGTTTTTAAGTATGTAATGTTTCAAAGGAATATATTTTATTGTTCCCATCACAGAAACTAGGCAATTGAATTAGTTGAATCCTGTAAAAATCTGAAAACCCTCCTTTGAAGCAGATCTCTGTAGGATTATTCTGAAGGATTCATTTATGTATCTGGACCTTTCTTGCTCTTCCCTGTCCTTATTTAAGTAGGTCCTTGCCTGGGCTGATTTGTCTTGATTATATAAACATACAGCACTGGGGAAAAAACTATATAGATGCATAATCCATACAATAAGAATTGCATCCGATAGAGAAAGATGAGAATAGTTTTTGGCTTTAAAAATTAACCTTTCATTTAGTTGACATAATTTAGTGAAACATTGCAATGAGGAAAGCAAAGTTTAGTTTGTTATCTTTTGGTGTTTGTGAGTGCAGCTTTCAGGTATATGAAACTCTAGTTCTTTTTTCTTGCTGATAACAAGAAGCAGTCTTATCTGCAGGTTTTCATAATTACAGAAATCATGAAAGTCATGCCTACAAACCTGTACTGAAATGCAAGGTTCTTCTTCTCCAGACTTATTAGACTTATATGTTCATGAAATGGAAAGTTACATTAAGGATTTAACTTCAGTCCCCTGTTATATACATACTTTGATTGATTGCTTGATTGATTACTCAGGTTAATATATTGCTTTAGCCACAGTACCCTAAGCAGTGTACATCAAATTTGCTTAAAATAATACAATATAACAAATGTTGTTATGTTATGTAAATAACATAAAGACATACTAAGCTGAGAAATAGCATGCCAAAATCATCATGTGATCATGATGGTGCTGTTATCATGTGATCAATCAATTACTGCAGAGGAGATGTTCCAACTCAAATCATTTCCACAAAACTTCCTGAAATAGCCAGACCTTGATGCTTCCCTATACACTATCAATATTGGTGCTGATCTAATCTGGGGCGGTAAAGAGGAATGCTATTCCAAAGAAGGAAGCAACAATGAAAAGATGACTCTGATGGTAACTCTTACCATACAAACTTCTAACTGCTTTAGAATGGAGCCCCCACAATTCTGGGAAACAAGCTATTCCAATGATTTTTTGCTGTCAGGATCTAGTTCTAGGTTGAATCTCTCTTTAACAAGCTTCCATCATTACTTCCTATCATGCCATCTAGTGCTTTGAAGAATAGGTTGATTCCCCTCTTCCCTGTGACAGCCTATCAAGTACTATCATGTTCCCCAATCCTTCTCTTTGATAGGCTAGACATATCTAGCTCCTTCAACTGTTCATCATATGATTTAGCCTCCAGATCCTATATCGTCTTTGTTGCTCTTCTCCACACACTTTCTAGAGTCTCAACATCTTTTTTGTATTGTGACCAGAATTGGATGCCATATTCCAGGTGTAGCCTCGCTAATGTGGTATAAAGTGATATTATTACTTCTTGTGATCTTGATGCTATCCTGTTGTTGATGCAGCATTGCTATGCATTGCATGGTCCACTAGGACACCTAGATCGCTCTCACACTACTATTGTTGAGCTAGCTATCACCTCTTCAATACCTATGAATTTGGTTTACCTGCCTCAGTGCAGGACCTTACTTTTCTCATTGAACTTCATCTTCTTGGATAGGGCCCAGTGCTCAGGTCTGTCAAGATTCTTCTGAATCTTGAGTCTATCTTCCAAAGTGTTAGCAATTCCCCCTAGTTTAGTTTCATATGAATATTTGATGAGTTTTCCTTTCTATCCCCTCATCTAGATCATTTATGAAGATGTTGAATACTTGAGTACTGAGCCCAAGACAAAATCTTGAGGTACCCCGCTGCATGCTTTCTTCCATGTGGATGTAGTTCTGTTGAGGACTCATGCTGGGTGCAGTTGGTCAGCTAACTGTGAATCCATCTGATAGTGGTACTTTTTATTCCTCATTGTTCTAACTCATTAAGAAGTAGGCTGTGGTCTATATTATGTCCTTGAACCACTAATTAGGCAAACTCTTTATCAAGAAGACAATAAGATTTGTCTGGGTTTAGTCCCTTGATCACTTTTTAAAAACTTTGTCAAAATTTGTATTCAGACTTGAGAAGGTTTTCAAAAGCCTAGATCATTTTTATGAAAGCATTAAAAGCATTCTTCATTACCCAAAGAAACAGAAGTTTCTTGCTGTTACCTGACAGGATTTCAAGGTTCAGATACAGTTTTGCTGCCTGTTAAATTACAAAGATTTGAGATGGTAAGAGAAAACAATTTAGTGTCCTAAATTATTTTTATAACACTAAAACTGCAGAGCTTTTATGGAGTGCTACCACTCAGAGAAGCTTTATGCATATAGGCAAGTCTCCATAAAATGAAGTGCCTGCTCCAAATACCAGGTACAGAACAAAACATAATTTTAAATAAATGTGCTAATTCTTTGACTATGAGGAAATGTAGCCATATCCTTTGGAGAGATGAAGTCCCCAGCTGAAATCTTGCCTCTATTCTAAATTTACAAGACAATTCTATCTCAGAACTCTCATTTGAATAATAGCACAATACTCTCCAATTTAAGTGGTTTATGTGAATTACAGAAATGTAACTGAAGTATTATGACTACTGTCAATAAGTATATAAATTATATTTATGGAGAGTATGCAGGCTTGGAAGCATGAGCACCCATAGTATAGCATTTGGGGGGATGGGGAAGCAGATATGAAGTGTAGAATGACTAATTTGCATGTGTAGCACAGGCCATTGTGGCAAACCACTTATATGACTTATATGCATCTTGGTCACAGGCCTTGGGAGAGGGTGGTTGTGGATCCTCTTTTAGTTTAGCCTAATTTTGTATTCTGATTGGGCATGTTGTCTTGTATATGTGTTGTTTCTTTTCTTTTGCTTCTTTTAAGCCACCCAGAGTTGCCAAGGAATTAGGCAGTCTCAAAATTAGAATGAGTAAAAAAATAAAGTTAGAATTTTTTTCCACTGAATCCAGAGACTTGTACCCGTGAGTTACAGACCTTTGTCTCACCTTGGAAACTTCAGTAGCCATTCTGTTTCTAGTACAATCTACTAGAGTCTTGCTCTCATATTTCCTTAAAATGCACAAGGAAATAATACTAGCCTAATCTGCAGAATTATCTTCGAATCTTGCTGTTTGAGGAAGTTGCATAACATTCTCAGAGACTCTTCCCATCCTGCTTACAATCTTTTTGGACTGTTGCCTTCCGGCAGAAGATACAGAACAATTAAAATTCGGACCATACGTTGTCTGAACAGTTTTTATCCCAGAACTATAATTGCACTCAACAATGAACTAAAGGGCCACCATCAGTGAGCTGTTGGACAGCATTACTTGCTCTGTTGTGTGGATGCTTGGGTGGTTTAGGGGTGGGGAATTTATGGTGGGTGGGGATGTGTTTGGGGATTGTTATGTGTGTTGGATCTGGTCTTTGGGTGTTAAATGAATTTCGTTGTATGGGTATACTGTGTATATATGTACAATGACAATAAAGTTGTTGTTGTTGTTATTATTACTATTATCATTAGCATGCATATTTTCAGTTCTGTTTTTGCAACATATATATATATATATATATATCATATATGGATGTTCTGTGTGCACATTTGCAGAATAACTTTTTACAATTTTTAATTTGATATTGTTTAAACCTAATATTTGATTATCACAACTCAACAAAACTCTGGATTTTTGAACTGCTTTTTAATACATTCCAATCACTTCCCTTCAGGGACTTTTTTAAAAAAACTTTCCTTCTCTATATTGTGATAGTGATCATCAAATCAAAACCTTTACTATGGCCTTTAGACCAGAAAACAGTGCAATAAAATATCTAAACC